TCACTCCACTCATGGTCTCTTCAATGTGCACTAATGGATATGTGACATGCAATCTGTGTACAGACCCTACAATAAGAGATAGCTTGAGAACATGTCTGACTGAGAGCTTTGTCTGTCTATTCAGTGCCTTTCTAATGCACGTATACTGGTAGCATGTAGATACAAAGGCTACACAACCAGTTCCCAGGAAGAAAGGCAATCAGAAAAAGCCCCCAGAACACACAAAGCAAGAGCAAACAGAAATAAGAGCAGCTCCAGACAGCATAAGTATTGTCCATGCTCATTATGCAGCAATAACTGGCACCTGGCCAAATATTAACCCTTCCTCAAAATGTGTTTTCTCTTGATAAATGGAACTAACTCAAGGGATTATTTCTTGAAAGGCTGGGCTACTGCTCTTATTTTCTGTTAACTCTTTCTAACAAAGTCCTCTTTACTAATCTTGACCAAGCTACTTGACTCACTGTGTGACATTGGACAAGTCACTTCATACCTTTCTGCTTCATTAGCCTAGGTGTAAAACCAGTTACTGAGAAGTCCTGGGTAAATAGATTAACAAAAATCAAAGAAATGTATGTTTAGAAGGTTAATTTTTGTGGCCAAGAGTTACTTGACAGTACTAATGTTTAAAATTCATAGTCTTCCTCTGTTAAACATTGTTTTTCCTTTTTAATTTTACTGCTCTCAAGAGAGTTGTGGCCTACATGTTTGTACTCGCTCATTTAAGCATTTCATGACAGAGAGGTAGAAACTTTATTTCTCAACATGGATTGAGACTGTTGACCTGTCACTTCTGACTGCACTTTCATAAATTCAGAAGTGGTACACCAACCCTGAACTTCTGGGCACACAGGGGCCAGAAGTAATAATTAAGATTTAATTCAGGTAACCACAACAGTGAAGAACTAATGGTCTTGGCTACAGTCAGCTCCTTACACTGTGTCCAGTATGTCTCAATGATGACTGGGAACACCATGTGTTATCTTCTGTCAGGCTGCCAATTGTCTCTGTTTAAAAAAATATTATTGCAAAAATTTCTGGCTTTTACTATTTTTTCTTTGTCAAATTTTTCACCTGGCTCTACTGCAAAGAGTTCAAGGGCTAAGTGGGAGAAAGATCCATCAGAGGTTGAGAAAACAAATTTGGTTATTTATTTAGGCCTACTACTACTAAATTACTTCAAGGTCCACTACAACATAGATCTTCTGGAGTCTTACACTCAATACTTATTGGCATGCAGCTGATTCTCAGTAACTCTACTTTTGCAATTCTGGGGAGAAATATGTGGTCATGAAAAAGAAGCATCCTTTACTTGCTGCTTGATAGAAAAAGGAACTGTGGACTGACTGCATTGCAGAAAGACAAGTGTAGGTTATTCCTTTGGAAGAAAAGCAAGCAGCTCACCACTCAGCCATCACAGACTAGTGCAGAAGTATTCTGCTCTAGTTTTATCATTCTGGGAATGTATATTGGCTGATCTGATGAGACATCAGGAAGAAACACAGTTCACGTCAGATCAACGAAAGCTTTGTAGTTCTGAAACTCACTGATCAGTACATTCCTCCTTGGCATGTGAAAAAATAACTGTGTTGGGCTTTTCATACTCACAGTTGCCATGCGAAATACTGATTGGCTCAGAATCTTCTGGGAAACCAGCCCCAGCAAAGTGTAGCAGTGTGAAATATAGCAGCAAGGCTTCTGACCTCATAGTAGTTCAGCTGGGAGACTTTACTTCTTCACTTCACCCTGTGGAAGACAAATAAGGGCACAAGGGCTTTCTATCAATTCCATTTGACCACTACACACACAGAAAGCAGAGCTTGTATGGTCAACAAATAACAAAGGGAACTCTCATTTTCCCTTGACCTCTCACTATAAATTAAGAAAAAAGTGTATTTTAAAAAAGGCACTGTTCTGCCAGGCTATTTTTCCTTCAGTTTCACATCTTGACATCAAGCATCACTTGTCCATATCACACAGTGGTGCCATCACTTGCTTTTGACTTAAATATGAAATGAGCTGCCTGTATATTTTCTGTTTCAGCTGCTTCTACCCAGTGAAAAAACTCTGTCTTTTGAGCCAATCAGTGGCTGACAAGCAGTTTTTAGGGAAGTACTCTGCTATTTCTTAGAGTAGGTTTACATCATTAAGATGATGACACCAACCATAAATAAAAGCCACGCTACATTATTTAGGTTAAAAAGGTGATTAAGAGTTATACAAAGGGACTGATTCATACCCTACAAAGTTGTGAATCAAGCAGAAACACAGAGCGCTTGAAGAAGCACACTGAACATGTCATTGGGCTTTCCCATAAAATATATACCCATAAATTTAGGTACCATAAAACTAATACTCCCAACTTGCAATAAAACAGGAGTGAACAGAACTTTCTAACCCCTCCCCCCAAAATGTTTCACTATTTCACATCCCATGTGCAAAATACCATAAAGATAAAAGGAACCACAGGGGACATGGTAAAAGAAAACAACACAGAATACAGTAAATATCTTATAATTCCCAGGCAAATTTCACAGAGGTGCCAATCCATTTCAATGCAAAAGTGGGGTTTTCTTTTCATCCCTTCCAGAGTTTCAAACTTCTGAAGCTGCCTGCCAAAGATTATCTTTCTCAACAAAGCTATTTTAGAGCAGCCTGTCAATCATGAAAGATTTATGTGTAGAGAGTCAAACTTGGTCACCTACACAGTCTTTGAAAGTTAATTTGGCAAACAAAGTGCTAACTTGCCCTTTGCAACATTATTTCATATTAGGTACTGATATCTACTTTCTCCATGCCAAAAAAGCCTCAACAAAGTGCTTAACTTGCCCTTTGCAGCATCATTTCATATTAGGTACCGATACCTACTTTCTCCATGCCAAAAAAAGCATCAACAAATTTTGAGACTTGCATTTCAACTTGTAAGTTCACAGGCACAGCTGGTTCTTAATCATTTATCCAACTAGAAATGTCACAATTCTTAATTTGTCTTATCACATATATGATTTTAAATAAAATCCAAGCTTCTGTAACAAGACTTGAGATAGCAACTCTGTTGTATGGCCATGGAGTCCCTAAGGGCTATTAGTAGGTGATTTATTGAACTCCCATATTTGCCTATTATTATTCAAACACACAAATTGGAAAACTTGGCTAGTTCTGTATTTTATTAATTAAAGTTTGAACCCAGAGAAAATGAACTTTGATGTGAGCCATTCTATGACCAAGTGACTCCTTGGCTGGCTGTCTTTATTACAAGGATGGCAAGGATACAATAGCAAGAGTAAGTAAAACATAAAACAGACAATGGTTGGCTATATGTACTACATGAGAAAGAGAATACTAGGAGAAAGCAGTGTCTACAAACTTCAGGGGAATCATTTTCATCTGGCATCCTGGCCTGGATTTGGTTGTGACTACTGGAGACAAGTGAGATGACCACTACATTGCTTTCCCTCTTCCTACCTTCATTTCTTTAATTGTTGCTAATATGGTATATGGATTGTGAGCTTTCTGCGACAGAGATTGTCCCTGTACTATCTGTTTTTTTAATGCTTAGTGAAATGAGATCTTTAATGAGATCATGTATAGTTGTTACTAGAATAGAAATAACCAGTAATAACCATACATGGAAACAGAGAGTCCCTCAGGATTTGCATTGAAGCCCAGATTAAAAAAAGAAGAATTAAAGCCTAACTCTCTTTCCTCCCACAGATCTTTTGATATGTTATTTTGCTATCCTTAAAGTCTTTAAAGACTTGTTTCTACAAGTGGATTGCAAAGTGAGAAAACAAAGTAGACTGCTTTAATATATCAACAAATTTCAGTTCTTTCCTTCTTGCAATTGCTTTTGGCAAATGCAAAACTTTTCTCTACAGAACAGCAGAAGAACAGTCATTTAGCCAAAAGAAATTTATCAGGCAATTCACTTTTTCAATTTAAACCTTTTTCACCCACCATATCAGTTTGCAGGCTGATAATTCAAACACAACATGGCTTCTGGTGAGGCTCTACAGCAGAAGAATAGGTGCTTTGTATTATGCCCTATCAGCCTATAATCAACTATTGAAAAAGTGCATTATGAGGAAAAATATTAATGCAGGATTGATGAATCTTGGACTCTCCATTTTAGAGCTTCGGAAACTTTTTTTATGGGAAGCTATGATTATCACCTCCTTCCCCTCAACCTTTTGCACTACTCCATGTAAATTTGTAGACAAGAAGGCCTCTGGTCAAATTAATTATTACTGTTATGCTACCCATTTTCCTTACTCTTTCAGTTTAAGCACAGGTTAATGAACAAAGCTTCTTTTTTATATAAAGAATAGACTAAGGAACATTCGTGTTGCTATTTAAAAGCTTCACTGCTGCAAAGGCATTCTTACATGCAAATCTTTTGTCAGTCTTCAGGGTATTTTCACTGATTTCTAATAAGCACAGAGCTTGATTCTCCATTCTCCTACACCTCATCTAAATCATTTGCACTTGTATGAAGTGAATGCAAAAAGCTCCCTTCTCTCTTCTTGATGTTTTAGAATCTGTCTACATTGATACACATACTTGCATCTATAAAGCAATGGAAAATTAGGCTTGTGGTGAAATTATTATTCAGTGTATCTTTTCCTGGAATGTAATTATCCAAATTTAATAAAGAATTTTGGTTTCCTACTACAAGCCAGATTTTTGTCCAATGTCAGTGGAATTCCAGAAGGATGCCAAATAGATATAGTTATGTTTATTTTTAGTATAAATTCCCTTTTCAGCAAGTCCTCCACTCTAGTTGGACTCTTGGGAATGGGGAAAGTGTTTTGACTTACAAGTGTGATGAAGCTACTTCCTAACCAAATGTCCTTCCATATGTAGCATCTGATGAAGCACAAGTAGCCAGATGGTGACACCCAGTGAGTACAGGTACCATCTCCAAATAATTGCTTTGTAAACATCAAGGGTTAGATTTTCAGCTAGCGTGAATCAGTGTAGCTCCCCTGACTTCAGTTATGCTATACTAATTTACATCAGTTGGGGGCCTGGCTTTAAGAGCTTCAGCTCTTGCTACTCACCAAAAGCACACTATGTTCCAGTAATGAAAAAATAGTAATTTTAACAAGTGATCTTTGTTTCTTCATTATTATTATTCTTTATTATTGTCACTAGCAAACGCCTGAAGTACAGTACTGTAAAGGTTTTGGGACACTTAGATGAAAGACTATGGCAATGCAAGGTATAATCAGCTGTTATGCTTACAGAATTTGAAGCAAAAAGTATGGCTTTTTCAGACGTCTGAAAAAACCCAAATAACAGATCAGTTTTATTCAATTTCTATACTAATTCAAATATAAACTGATGCGAGGATATTGTGGAATCTTGATTTGTTTCTTTAACCTCAATGGGGTTATGCAGTGAAAGAAGACTTTTCCTCGATGGCATGCATATATATAGATGCATACACACACACACACACACATATATACACACATGCACACACACACAGAGTGAAAGAAGACTTTTTCTCAATGGCATTCATATATATATTCTTTTATATATATATTTTTTTCTATGCACCTTGGTCATTATTATGAGTAAATACTAAAAAATAAATTAAAAAAACCAATCTTTTCTCTTGTATGGAAAGCAGGTTTCCTGTTTGGGAGAAAACAATACAAGGCTGGACAGTACTTCAATACATCATTGTTTATATTAATTATTATTATTGTTATTCTTATTATGTTTTTGTCTGAAAGTCTGATGAATACGCTGCCATAGTAAAACTCATATTGGGAACAACCATTGTACTGGCACCAAGGAGTTTTCCTTTTTTTTAGAGAAGAATATTGTCCCTGAAGTATCAGGAGAAAGCTTTGATTTTTTGGAACTGAAGGCTATATATATATTCTAGAAACCATAACTATCTGAGCCAAAAAAAGAGCTACCATGCTGAGCACAGATTTCTGCTGTCTGAGCTTTCTCGGTTTTTTGAATGATTGTCCAATGGCACAGCATACAGAATAGCCCTTTGGCTAAGGAAATGAACACCTGGCTATTACCACAGTGCCTGATGACTACAGCTGTACCCTTTAAAATTCAAAAAAGGGGTTATCTTAATATGTATGTATTTCATTGAAAAATAGGAAAGGAAGTGCCAACTTAGTAGACTTCATAGAAACTTAAGGTAGTTTTGTTTGAGAGCACGCATAAAACCACATAAGCTGCATAAATATAACTATTAAAATGCTTTCTTTCATCTTAAGTTAGCAACAGATGCTGCATTTGTCCCTGGATAAGATGGTCCTGTGTTTCTCCCAGACCAAATATATCCTAAAATTGGTGTGTACAAACATCACACTTCTAATCGGTTTAGTAAGCAGCTGAATGCAGTGCCACTTTTCTTCCACTGATTCAATGATACAGTACCAGGATAACTATATAGATGTACTTTGCAATATCCTAGGATAAACTGTTACTTTCTCATATCCCAGAGGCTTTTTTAGGATTTATCCTGGAACAATGGACATGGATATCTGTAAGATTGCACTTTGTTCTGGGAAAACAATAGTTTAACCCAGGATAAATGTGATGTCTGTTTGCAGCCTTAGAGAATGTCCTATTTAACTGCTAGGGCCCAGTTGAACCCTCAGTTAATCAAGATATAATTCCTAGTAAAGTCAAAATGTAAAATAGGGTTGGGATTTTTTGGGGGTGTGGGTGTTGCTAATTATGGTCTGTGTTGCATCGCTACTGCTAGATCTCTATGTATCGCAAACTTACTTTAAATTAAGTATGGTTATCTTTGTAGAAAATAGATGTAATTCAATCCACAGATTATTGGGATCA